CTAGTAAGTAGCAAAACTTCACCAATAAGGTAGTTGGCTTCGGGACTCAGCTGAGAAGGTATTTAGAGACAGAAACAAATAAAAACTACATTAGCTACCCATGGCCAGGAGGAAGCTAAACCCACTCAATGATCACTCCATGGTTAAACACCTGGCTGATATCAGAAAGGTCAACAATTTGAATGCAGCAGCCACTCTGTGGGAGATAGATTCAAAGGTCTGCATCTATAAAAAAAAAAGATTGCAGTTCTGCAAATCCTAGGGACTGTTCTACTCTATCTTACGCTATTTCAGTTGAAATCTCCTCCAGGCAACAGATTTGGTTTGAGGTTTTAGTGCCTCGTTCTGGTTATGAAGCTTAGCAGTAGCTCATTTTTATTACAATTTCCCCCTCCCTTATTATTTTTCCCCAAACCCAAGTAAATATCTAGAAGAATCAGGAAAGAAGTAAGAAGAGATATATAACACCATCAGTATAATCAACACCTCACCCCAACCTCCCAGGCCAAGCTAAAGCTGGGAGCTGTTAAAGCTGTCAAAGATGAGTGGTGGGAGCGACAGAGGCAGGAAATGAGAACAATCTGTGGGAACCTCCAGCTCTGTTTTCCCTGTGCTGGTAATCAAGCAGACCAAGGGCTGAAAACATCTCGAGACGGAAGGAGCTTAGACCATTGAGTCACTACTTGAGGACAGCTGCCAAGGAAAGCGATTCTCATCAGCAAACAAGAAATAAACATTTACTGTGCTTCGCCACTATTAGGTGGGGGTGTGGAGCTGCAGTATACCCTGATAGGACCCTTAGGCAAGGGCCTAGGGGGCAAGAATAAAGGTAATGTCAGAGTGGGCATCATCACCATCACATAAGGTATGTATGTTACACTCTGATTTGGGTGGAGAAAATACAGGCATTATGTTCTCATGACTGCAGACTTTGAAAGTAATTCACTTACCTACTGTCCGTGGTCTAATCATTATTTGTGTAATCGTGGGCAAATTCCTTATTCTCTCTCTCAGTTTCCCCATCTACGATATCTAGTGTATACTTTCCTAAAAGACCTGAAAGGGAACTCTGGTGGCTTAATGGTAAGGAATTGTGCTGCCAGCAAAAAGGTCCACAGTTTGAATACACGTGCGACTTTGAGGGAAAAGACAGGCAATCTCCTCCCATGCCATTTACTGCTTCTGAAAACCTGCTGGAGGGTCCATTGTAGGTTGGTTCCCACTTGATGGTACAAAACAACACTACTGCCAATCAGTACTGAAGGATGGAGTTGGCCTAGTGGTAAAAAGCTGTGCTACAATCCTAAAGACACGTAGTTCAAATGATGGGCAATATGGGCCAGTTTCAACTCGATGGTTCACAACAACAACAACAACAAAAGGCTAAAAGATGTAAATGACATAGCCCACACAAATTGTTTGGCATGGTGCTTTATACTTAATTAGCACTTGAGTTTTAGCTCAAGTACCTCTAGTAACTCAAGCAACTCTAGTAACTCTTTGAGGACCTTATATGCCAAAATCTCACAAAGGCTGAATGTGAAAATTAGGCAAAAAGTTGGACATGACAACTCATTGGAGCCCTTCTGCAGAACTGAGGTACTTAAAGGACTACTAAAAAGACTAGAAGAAACACTAACCAGCTTTGAAGGAGATGAGTTAAGAGAGCTCCGAGTATAGCTCTGTGTCTCTCCTTTTCTGCTGACAGCACGCTGTTAGGCTCAGCTTCACCTTAGTCTTTCCAGAGGTCCCTCCCCCTTTTCCCCTTTCTTTCTTTTTCACGTTAACTTTTTTACATGACCTGCCTTTCACTAGCTATACCTCTGTTTTATTGCCTTAATAAACTTTTTTCAGTTGTTTTGCTAAAGAAAAAGGGAGAGAGAGAGTTGTGAATATGATCTCCCTATTTCAGACATGCAAACACCTTAACACTCCTAAGTACGTCCCGATTCACCAAACATAGTTCCTCTTCTTTCTGGCATATAGCCTCCTTGTTAAAACTACTATGTCTTATGGAATGCAAGATCCACCTATGTCCAATTCTCAGGAATCACACATGGAAGACAGTGGAGCACAAGATGAGAGGAGCTTGGGTCCCTGAATCACTGCGCAGAGGAGAAGGCTTGGGTCCCTGCATCACTGCATGGAGGGGAGGGCTTACCAATCAGGACATTCATGTGGACTCAGATGAGCAATAAATAATTGTGATATTCATTACACACTTTTGGATTTGTTTGAACAGAACAAGAAAATATTGTATGGTTTAAAATCAGAAAAGGTGGTCATGAGGGTTGTAACTGTTCTCCATACCTATTCAAACTGTACGCTGATAAACTAACTCAAGATGCTGGAATGAAAGAAATAATTAATCAACAAACAGTGTTATGACAGTAACACAACCCTGCCTGCTGAGAGTGAAGTAGACTTGAAACACTTACTGAAGATGACCAAAGATGGCAGCATTCACTATGGATTACATTTCAACATCAGGAAAACAAAAATGTTCACCACTGGATTTCAACAGGCAACATGGAGAAAAGCTTGAAGTTGTCAATGATTTCATCTTAATGGATCCACAATCAACACTCATGATAGCTGTTGTTGTTGTTGTTACGTGCCATCGAGTCGTTTGCAACTCATAGAGACCCGATGTACAACAGCCCTAAATCCTGCTCTATCCTGTGCCAATCGCACTGCCTCTGACACACCCATTCCCGATTACCCCAGTCACTGAATCGATCCACCTCATAGAGGGTCTTCCCCTCCTGCGCTATCCCTCCACTCTCCCAAGCATGATGTCCCTCTCTAAGGACCTGTCCCTCCTTACAACATGTCCAAAGTATGTCAGACGAAGCCTCAGAATCCTTGTCTCCAACGAGCAGCCTGGTTTAACCCTCTCCAAGATGAATCTGTTTGTTTTCTTGGCAGTACATGGTACATTCAATACTCTTCTCTAGCACCACAGCTCAAAGGCATCAATTCTCCTTCTATCCTCCCTAGTCATTGGCCAGTTCTCTGATGCATAACAAGTGATTGCAAAAACCATGGCCTGTATCAGACACACCTTAGTCTTCAGAGTGACACCATTGCTCTTCAGTACTTTAGAGAGGTCCCTAACAGCAGACTTTCCCATCAATACATTTTTTTTAATTTCCTGACTGCTGGTGCCAAGAGTGTTGACCATGGAGCCAAGCAAACTGAAGCTGTGAACAACCTCAATCTCTTTACCATCCATCCTGATGCTGCCAATTGGTCCAGTGGTGAGAATCTTTGTCTTCTTGACATTGAGCCTCAGTCCATACTGAAGGCTGCAGTCCTTGATAGCAGTAGTGAAGAAATCAAAAGATGTACTGCACTGGAAAAATCTGCTGCAGAGGACTTTTTTTAAAAAGCTAAAGAGAGAGGAGATGTCAGTTTAAGGATTAAGGTGTGCCTGATCCAAGTTATGTTATTTTCTTCTGCTTCCTAAGCATCTGAAAAAGACTGGAGCAGAACGGATGTCTGTGAATTGGATGCTAGCAAAGAGTGTCGACTGTCCCATGAACTGCTGAAAGAGCAAAACAGTCTGGAAGTGCAACAGGGGTGCTCCTTTCAGGGAAGGAGGATAAAACTTCATCTCCCATATGTTGGTCAAGTTGTCAGAAGAGGCCAGTCCTTGGAAAAAGACAGTATGCTAGGAGACATATAGAGCTAGAGAAAGGAAAGATGCTCAGTGAGATGGGTTAACACTAAGACCGCAACAATAGGCTTGAGTGTGGCAGGGATCATGAGGACAACACAGGAGAGAGTGAAGTTTGGATCAGTTGTTCACATAATCACTATGGGATTGACTGGAGAGCACCTAATAACAACAATGCTGTACAATGTTGTACTGTCGAGTAGGAACCGACCCAGAGCTGACCCTCTGGTGGGATTTCTTAATCACTGGGAGGAGACTGCCCATCCTTCTGCTGCAGAGCAGCTGGTGGCCTCGAACCATGTGCCTTCAGGAGTGCAGCGCAGCTTCTTGCCTCTAGGCCATTTGGAGCTCCCAGTAACAACAATATTACATCTAAATGGAGCTTTGGTGGCAATGTCAATAGGAAGTTGTGCAATAACCCAACGACCATGCCTCTCTGGCAGTTTGAATCCATCAGCAGCTCCTTGAAAGAAGGACAGACACAGTCCTGCCATGTGATCTACAGCCTTGGACACCCAAAAGAGGACCGACGATGAATCTGTTCCAACTCAATGACAGGAGTGAGTAAATGCATATAAACTTCCTAGTGCCACGGTGCATTATGTGTTGCATTGTTAATGGAAAGGTCAACAGTTCAACTCCATATGCTATTCCAAGAAAGAAATGAATGCACGCTCCTCCCATAAAGATTTACAGCCTCTAAAACTCAGTGGACGGTCGCTATGAGTGGGAATCTACTCAGTGGCAGTGGGTTTTGTAATAATCTATTAAGGAGCTCATAGGGAGCTTTGGTGGACCAGTGACAAGGACTTGCACTGCAGTCCCTTAAGCATACAGTTCGAATCCACCAGCTGCTCCACAGGAAAAGAACGGGTAATCTCTTCCTGTGAGAATTACTGCCTCTGAAAACCTGCTAGAGGGTCAGCTATGAATAAGTTCTGACTCAATGGCACAAACAACAACTCAACAAAATTAAGGAGCTCTGGTGTCATAGTGCGTTATTAAGACTACTCCTCCTGAAAAGACAGGCAGTCTCCCCTCATAAAGATGTACAGCATCAGTAGATTATAGTCTACTAAGTCTACTAAGAAAAACTGTGAGAATTACCAAAACGTGATTTGGAGACACAGATTGAAAGCTTAATACAGGCTTGCCATAGGACTTCAATCTGTAAAAAAAAAAAAAATCCTGCAGTATCTACAAAGTGCAATAAAACAAAGTATACCTATATGCTCCCTCAATTGCTTCTCTGGGCTAAGTTTCCTCAATTCTCCATTCCTCCAGTCCCAGATATGACACATAAAGACAGCTGGGTACTTACCCAATGCATGGATTGGTCTGGTATCGTGGAGCTGTATAGGAGAAAGGGGAGATGCTCTTGTCTACGAAAGAGCCAAATCCCAATCGGAAATTGCTGGTGAGCTTCCTCATCTCGTCAGCCAGCTTGGTGCCCAAGTTCCAGATGTTGTCCAAGTCATCCTTCATGGACAGGGAGAGATCCATCAGGTAGTACAGGTCCACGGGGTAATCCTCCACCTGGCGGACCTGCAGCTGGAAGGCAGTCTTGTTACCTGTGCCAACAAAGAGGACACGTCATTTTGAGAGGGTTGAGGGGATGGGTTTTGCTTTCAAAGTTAGTCTACTTACTTTTTGTTAGTGTTTGTGGGCCTTTCAGAAGAAAAAAACATTTTTTTTTCTCCTTGAAAATACAATGAATAAAAGGAATATAGATGTTGAGATGAGGCTTTAGGTTTTGCTCAGCAAAGAAATTCTTTCATAACCAGGGATCAGTTATCTGAGCTCTTAGAGGTGTTGTTTTCTTAGAGAGAGAGAGAAAAAAAGACCTGCAGCAAATTCCATGAGTATAGAAGAATGGATAGGGAATAGTCAATCCACCACATGCCAACCCCACAAGAAGGATCAGCCACGATGGTCACTCAGTGGGAGGAGACTGCCAAGGTCAATGTGAAATAAAAAGTAGGGGGAAACGTCACAAAAGGGAAGTATGGACAATGGTAAGGAAGAAGCGGGGTGAGGAAGATGTGCTAGCCAAAGGAAAGTGTGTGTGTGTATGTGCGTGTGTGTGTGGGGAATATAGTTTCTAAAATAACAACAGCATAACAAGGTAAGGAGCCACAAGGAGCTTTGGTGGCCTAGTGGTTAGGAGTTGCACTGCCAACCCAAAGGCACATGGTTCTAATCCAGCAGCTGCTCCTCTTCAATTTAGTCTCTGAAAACCCACTGGAAGGTCAGCTGTGAGTTGGTTCCAGATCAACAGCACATAACAACAAGAACAATATAACAAAATAGCCAATAGTGGAAAAAGGAACTTAATTTAAAGGAAGAGAACAAAGAACAAAGCCAGTGACTGGAATGTATGGACTTTCCTATATTCCTTCTACAGAGGGCACAGAGGATCCAGGTCAGGGTAAATAACCAGAGTACTCGGAACCAGGACAAGAAGAGTCTCTGAATCACTTCATAACCATTAAAAAGAAATCATTTAGAATCAATTTCAAGGCTCAAATCATACAAGGTAATTCCATCTGCTCTTGAGCTTACTGAATGCCTTTCAGGGGCACCAGGAAACATCCCATTTATCCCAGAACAGAGCTGTCCACACACATTTCATATCTGAACACATATTCTAGGTTTATAGATGCAATAGCAAAGGCATCCTCTCCTGCCCAAGGGATCCTCACCTGATTTACCTGCAACCAGATCTGTAAGCAAACAAGCTGTCGCCTCAAGCTGATGGCCAGCCATAGCTTCCTGCAGCGTGCAGGCTAAGGACCTCAATCATCTATGCTCCCACTCCTCCTTCCCACCTTCATCAAGCATACATAAAGAATCAAATGACCAAAATCTTCTGTCCAAGTTCCACAGCTGCCACTTTAATAGTTTGAAACCTAAGCCTTAGTTTCCTTAAATATACTAGTTGCCTTGAAGGCTATTCTTACTCAAAGTGAACTGCGAGCATGTCAAAGGAAAACTATGCTCCGCACCTATGGGTGGACTCGAACTTCCAACCTTTCCATTAGCACTCAAGTGCATTAGCCAGCAACTCCTCCTTAAATGTACAATGGAAATAATAACAACTACCACAGTGACCAATGGGCTCAAGTGTGTCAGAGATGGTGAGGTTGGCACAGGATAGGTCAGGGTTCAGATCTGTTGTTCACACGGTCGCGATGGGTCGTGCTCACCTTGACAGCACCTAACAACAGCAATAACACAACCACATGGACAGGGACCTCTGGTAGCCTAGTGGGTAAGGAGATGCACTTCCAACACAAAGGCAAGTGGTTTGAATCCGCCAGTGGCTCCATGGGAGAAGGATGCGCAATCTGCTCCCTTGCGACGTACAGACTCTGAAGACCCACTAACGGGTCATTAGGAGTGGGTTCCAGCTCGACAACAGGGTATAAGATGCCACACTGGTGGGATCTTTAGCGCTGTGATGCGCTCCTTGGGAAAGAAGAGTTTTTCAAGCAGTGGAGGCCGACACAAATAAGGTCTGGTTATTGTAATTATTATTTGCAAGCTAAGCGGCAGCTCCAAGCTATTGCCCCTGACTTGTCTGTGCGTGCCCTGTGCTGTCTCAGGACTGCTGTACTCTGGGTTGCCTTTTGGTATGAGTCTATTTTTAAAAACCACCAGTCTGACTCAAACGGAGGAATGTTCAAGATTTCTTCCAGAAAGCATTCTGGACTGTGGGGAGGGGAGTCCGTATCTGACTCCTATCAGGCACACAAGAGCAGGCCCCTCCACAGGGCCCCTCTCAGCCTTGAAGGCCACATCCTGCTGGGGCAGGGGAGCTCGGGGAGCAGAGCTGGAAGGAGGGAAAAGCTGAAGGAAGGAAGCCCCTCTTTTTTTCTTGAATGGAAAGACAATAGATTTCAAATCAGTAGAGTCTATGGTCTTGCCCTTTCTGCCCCATTCCATGGCCTTTTTATTTTTTTTTTAAACTAAGAAGTATATATTTGTATTCCATTCACACTGTGTTTTATAAAATTATTCACCATTGAACTATGTCCACCTTTATCCCATCTTTTCAGACCCCCACCCAATCTTTCCGATTTCTTTTACCCTCTCCCTCCATCCACCATATTGTGTCACCCTGTGATCCCCCGACGTCCACCCTCACCCATCTGTTCCCACCCTGTCCCTCCTTGAATCCCATATACATTTTACTAGTTATCTTTCTATTTTCCCAATAATGGTCTCATGCCATACTTGTCCTTATGAGACTGAGTTAGTTCACTCAGCATAATGCTCTCCAGTCACTTCCAAGTTATGCAGTATTTTTTGAAATCATTGCTGGGAATATACCACAATAATATATTTTTTTTAAATACTCGTTTATTTACAAAGTTCTTTTACATTGTTTTTCACACCGGATCTTTCCCATTTCCATGGAGACTTCTGCACTTTTTACTGCTTGCCCTTTTCTCCCCATATTCCTAGGTCCCCTTCCTTTTATCCAGAATCCATTTCCACTTTTTTAAATGGATTGTTGTTGTGTTGTTGTTGTTATGTGCCGTCAAGTCGCTTGCGACTCATAGCGACCCTATGTACAACAGCCCTAAACTCTGCTCTGTCCTGTGCCAATCGCACTGCCTCTGACACACCCATCCCGATTACCCCAGTCACTGAATCAATCCACCTCATAGAGGGTCTTCCCCTCCTGTGCTGTCCCTCCACCCTCCCAATCATGATGTCCCTCTCCAAGGACCTGTCCCTCCTTACAACATGTCCAAAGTATGTCAGACAAAGCCTCAGAATCCTTGCCTCCAAAGAGTAGCCTGGCTTAAACCTCTCTAGGATAAATCTGTTTGTTTTCTTGTCAGTCCATCGTACTCTCAATACTCTTCTCCAGCACCACAGCTCAAAGGCATCAATTCTCCTACTATCTTCCCTAGTCATTGTCCAACTCTCTGGTGCATAACAAGTGATTGCAAAGACCATGGCCTGTATTAGACACACCTTAGTCTCCAGAGACACACCGTTGCTCTTGAGTACTTTAGAGAGGTCCCTAACAGCAGATAATGAGTCATTAAAAGGCGGGCTCTTTACCTCTTTACAATCAGGAAATGAGGAGCTAGTTTGGCTCACAGAGGCTGGGAGGCATGCTCAGGGTGGGTAGAGAGCACTGGTCTTAAAGACGGGAGAGATGAGTTGTTCAGTTTTTGCCCCAGTAAAATGGGAGGATGTTAATTGCTACAGTTATTAAAAAAGCTTATAAACAGCGCACAAAAGCTCCTCTTACTCAGAAAAAGCTCTGGCCATAGGTCTCCCCAAATTAACTATTAAAGCAATTTCCTGTGAGGATAAAAAGACGGAAAATTCTTCCAGAAACTTGAGTTTGAATGGCTATCACCTTCGGCATTAAATGTAACTTCAAATTTTCCAGACATGAAGGCAAAGAGAGAAACAAGAAACGACAGATGTGTCTCTATATGCTCAAAGGCACAGGTTATCTACTCTAAAGTAAGAAATGCCTTGGCATTAAATTCTAAGAGAGAATGATCATTAAGAAAATGCAAGTGCCCACATGTGCGCACGCACACCCACACACACACACACCCCTCCACAAAGCGAAGATGAAAATGCTAATAAACATTTCCTTTAGTTTTTCTGAAAGGGAGGGAGACATAGGAAAAAGTAATATCTTTAAGGCTCATAATAAATGTTTACTGCTACCTCAAATATGCTTGATTGTTAATGCCACAAAGTCCTTAATGGGCTTTGGCATGATGGAATGTTCTGTCAGCAGATTTTAAAGGGGACAACATTCCTGCATGATGCTCAAAGGCCACGTTAAGCTGCCAGTGCACTAACTCCCCAACAAGGGAGGCACTTCCAGAGCCGGGGGACAGAAGTGAAGCTGCTTCCTGCTCATTCTCTACAGGGGCCCAGAGCGAAAGTCAGGGCCACACTGTTCACCTCGGGTACTCTTCCCGGTTCGCATGCAAGCATTCTTCCATTACATTGCTTTCCCAGAATGCCGTTCTCCTGCACCATCGGAAACTTTCAAGCAGCCACCGCCACCTGGGTGGCAAGGAGGGTGCAAAGCCAAGGTGCATGGTCTGTGCCTGTCGCTGGGACACCACTCCTGCCCACCTTTGCCGGGTGGTTTCTTCCTCCTCCCTCACTGCACAGGATCCTCCATTCCTCCCAACAATGGCAGGCTCAGGCCTTCCTTCAGGCTGCACCTTCATTTCTGGGGCCATGCCAGGTAATCCCTGCCTGGGGACCAGTGGGAGGATCAGAGAAACGGGAAAAGCAAACTTCTTAAATTTTTTTTTTAAAAAGGCTTATCTGCTCACACCTGTGAGGATTACGCTACTCCTGCAAGCAGCCCCCTCCCCCCCCTTTATCCTTCCGGCTTTTCCTGTTTCGAAAGCACCTGACTCAACTGTCCTTTGAACAGAATTCCTGCCACTGTACAACTTAAAAGCGTAAGTTTTCTTTTACAACAACAAAAAAGTTCAAGGTTTTTCTCACTGCAATCAAGTATCAATCAGCATTCTAGCTGATAAGTATTTTTTAAAGACTTATTTCTGCCCTC